TTCAGACTTCAGCATCAGCAGAATGATGGTGGAAAAAGCCAGAAAGGAGCTGAAAGATTTAGGAATCCTCAGGAGGTGACAACAGAGAGGAAAACCCATGATCAATGATCTGATGTTGTCAAAATTCCATAATTTTGTCAACAATGATCTCTGCAAATCGATGCATGCTGTTGCAAGGGAGTAAGGTGTGGCTGGAAAGCTCATCAGGCTGGTGGTACATGAGGACATTCGCTACTTTTCATACAAGATGAGGAAGGGACAATTTCTGTCTGCCTTGAATCCAAGGAAAAGCAACTCAAGTACACCAAGAAGCTGATCAACAAGTTGAAACACCCACTGGAGGCTGACATGGTGTGGTTCTACAAGAACTTCTGCCAAGACCAGAAGATCAACTCTCAGAACAATAGGTGGCTTGCTGTCTTCCCCAAAGATGTGCCCAGATTTATGCAAAGTTTCCAGTGGCAATCATAGTCTTTTGTGTAGTCAACAGTGAAGGTGAGGTCATGTGACCCAACGTTTTGAACACCGACAGCTACATTCATATTCTAAGAGAGGTGGTGAAGCCCTGGATCAACCAAGTAGCTGCAGGAAGGATGTATGTGTGGCAGCAAGACTCGGTACCTACCATTCCAGTCAGATGACCTGGAGAACTTCTTCACTGCACCTGACATTTGGCCTCCCAACTCACTTGATTGCAACCCCCCCTCAACTTGTTTGTGGGGCATGGTGGAACAAGAGGCTAACAGATACAGCTGCAACATGAAGGACAAGCTGAGTGTCAGGATCACCATGGCCTTCAGTGACAAAGGCCTGTGGCTGCTTCCAAGGTCGCCTCGAGGCTGTCATCAAAGCCAAAGGTGGGTTCATTGAGTGAGATTGACAGTACATGTCATGAAGACAAACAGACCAAAGTTTGGCAAATATATCTCAAAAAATAACACTTATTTTTTTTCCAGACAGTAATCTTGCAAACGAATACTGTCTGCACCATGTATGTTATATATTTTTTTTTTTCTGAAGAGGATTTTTCTCCACACACTCCAGATGTTTTTAAACACCTAATGCTGCAAATTGTTCTCAATACTCTAACCAAAAATCTGCTATATTTGACAATAGGCTGCCTAGACTTGAAACAAGATTATTGGTTAAGCAACCTCCAAACCAATATTCATCTTTTAGGGAAAAAATGAGCAAATGAAACCTTATTTAAAAAGTTATTAGTGCATTAAAACACTTTGTCCAATTCTGAATTGCCCACTCTTTTCTGTTAATTAACCATTAAAATGGTTTTCTTCTGTGATGATGATACTTTTATTCTTGGGATAATTTGGACACACTTTATCACATCTACTACTTTGCAATGAAATGAGGTTTAGTTCCCTGTGTTATCATTCAAAAAATAGCCTTTTCATAACCAATGCTGGTTATTATATATATATATATATATATATATATATATTAGAAGTAGGTTTGTTGTCTGAGAAATATTCTTTTAGTCTCAGTCTACGAAGGTATTTTTCCATATCGTAGCAAAGGTTTAGAGGTTTTAGTGGTTGTGAGGGGCAGAATGATAATCCTTTATTTAATAAAGAGGTTTCTCCTTGGGTGAGAGTGTATTTAGATAGGTTAGCGATGTGGTTGTCAGCAGAGGTAGTATTGGTGTAGTGAACATAATGAGATCTTCGTGGGATCTCTTGTATTAGATAGTCTTTCAGGTAAGTTATGTGTTGTAAAATGGGGTCCTCAGCAATTAGTTTGAGTTTTTGGTTTTTCAAAAATATACACTGTGTCAGTTTTTTTTGGTATAGGAAATTGAGTGCTTTTTTTACTTGAGAGTATTGAAACGGAGAAAGTGTTAGGTAGAGAGAATAACTGATTTTTTTAGATAAGTTCATGTAAAAAGATTTTTTAATGTAAGCAGTGTTGTGTGCAAGATTTCTTAATTGCGTGGAGGTTCTGTTGTATATAGGTTGGGCTTTTTGTTTTTGCAATGTAATAAAACTATGTTGGAAATTGTATTTAAATCAGAATCCTTTTGGCATTAAGTCCATTTTCTTGCAAAGTCCGAGAAATATAATATCCGAGTATCTGTGCCAGTTTGTAGAAAATTTTTTCTAGTTTTCTTCTATCGTGGAGATTTTTGCCGTTTAAGTAGGGTCGAAATAGCATGAGAAGCCACGTATACTTTCTTAATATGTATATATAGAAAAAGTTTCAAATTGAAAATTATAATGTTTTATTTTATGAAAGTATTTATTTATTTATATATATATTTGATATTTCAAATTGTCCTCAATTTTTCATCAGAAATAACTGTTTGTTACAAATAAATTAAAAAATATATATATATATATATATATATATATATATCATTCGTCCTTTGCATGTGAAGATGACCTTGATTTTGAATCACTGGAAGGTGGGGTGGGTGCAGAGATGACTAATGAGTCTGATCTTCATCCTGCAAAAGTCTTTTGCAGATGTAACATTAGATGCTAGGGGCTGAACCAGGCAGGGAAGCGAAACCCTCTTGATCTTCCCTTTTCTGCCATCTCTGTTCTTTGTCCCTGATTATTTTCTCTTCTAAATCAGACACTCTGGACCTTACAAGGGAGCACCAGATGGCACGGTCTTCAGCAGCCTCTTCCCAGGTGGAATGGGGAATGCTACAATGCTTGAGACTCCTTCAGCGTATCTTTGTAATGTTTTTTATATATATATATATATATATATATATATATATATATATATATATATAAAAAATGTATATGCACATACACACGTGTTAGTCAGATATAAAATCTGAACAAGGAGAAATGAAAAAGTGGAAGAGATTTTATTGACAATGCATCTTGCATTCGTTAGGTGGACATGTTCAGGTCAGAATTAAAGTTGACAATCTGCTGGCCTTAAAACAAGCCCACTTGCATACCACATTGTGCCACTATTGCTTTTGCAATGATTGTTTATACTATGTCTGAACCTGGTCTTAGGTATATCATCGGGAACTGAAAGATCAACATATTCTCAATGCATTTTCTTAGTGAAACTTTTGCCCTACTGATCAATATATATAGTGTGTAGAATTAAAAATGTTTTAATTTTACACACTATATATATTGATCAGTAACATTTTTCCACTTGAAAAATGTTTAATTGCAGAGGTTTGATTTGCCTTGAAATGAACAGAGTTTCATATTTTGATGTGAAATTTAAGGATATAAAGAGAAAATAAAGCTGCAATGAAAAAGAAGAGAAAAACAAAAGTAAAGGCAGACAGAAAAAAAAAGGATGTGAATTAAATGTCAATAATTGAAAAACCTTTGTTTGCATTTACTGTTTGAAGTTTTCATAAAACTGAAATAGTTGTGGGATTTTTTCTTACATAATTTTTACAGAAGATCTTAAAGTTCAAAGTTTATCATAAATTTTCAATAGGATTTAAAACCAAGGATTGAATAAGCCATTGTTAATTTTAACTATTCAAGATTTTCAACTGGTGTGTCAAATAGAATAAATGATCCTATATATGCCAATGCATTACTTTATTCATGATTCCTTCAATCAAATGTAATACTTCAGTGCATGTTAAATAAAAAAAAAAAACAATTTTCTCAACAATAAGTAAATATGGTGTTACTTGAGCCAACCATCTTTTTTCATGTCTTCTACTTCTGTACAAATCTATTAACAAAAATATTCATGATTTTATCAATGTTCTTGTAACTGAAACCTTTAAAATGTTTCTTCATTTTGAGTTCCTTAAATTTAGCCAGCCATCTGATTGAAAGAAGTTGATACGCATTCTCTATTTTGAGGTCTCCATTTGAAGATTCTACATTAATTCATTTGAACATTAAGCTTTTATAAATAGTTTCTAATTGTATCCCAAAAATTTTTAACGACTAGTTTCATCTTTCAAGTTAAAAAAAGGAATGCCATTTATATTTATTTTCATGTTTTCAAATTTCACATCAATATACTTCACTTGTATTAATTTCAGGTTGGGTCAATGTTGTGGAAGTATAATAAACATTTTTCAAATGTTCAAATTTTTTTTCACCTCAATGTGAAAGTTAAAAAAAAAAACAATTAACACTGTAGATTTTTCCAAAACAAGACCTGTTCAAAATTCATAAAACCTTTACATGCATTTAAATTTAAATTGTGTCATTTCTGTTCTGCAATCCAAACAACTTATACATATCAAATGTAGTTTGAATTTCACAAAAGAAGTTTAATTACAAAAAACAAAAATGCAACAAATAAGCAACACTTGATTAAACATTTTATCTTTACTTTTGTGATGTTTCTTTTGTTAATCAAATATTAGCTACCAACAAGCCTTTTGTGCTACTTTTAAAATATAGAGGATGAAATTATGTGTATATGGTTTATAAGATATATATCTCAGAAATTGAAATAAAGCAATTCAAAATAAACCAATTTACTTGCAAAAAAAATCTTTAATAGAACCACCAATAAGGTGTTTCTGTGCATTTAAATCACATGAAATTAGAGAAACAACTCTTTATATCTAAGATGTTTTTCTTTTACATATTTATACATATATACATGAAATTGTTATGTCTGTAGTATTAAAATTAACCAAAATTCCCTTAAAAAAAGACTACAGCCTTTATCATACTATTAGAAAAATTCATAATTTTAATGAAGTTGATGTCTGTGAATATAGGCATAGGGTTATAATATAACCTAAGAATTTATCTTTAATTTTGAGTTAGACATAACTGAAAAGTTTCCTCAAATGTTTTTTGTCCTTTATAAAACGACAGTGCTTATTTGTTTATTTTCATTGTATCTATTTTCACCAGCCTATTGGAAATGTAAACCAATAATAGCTGAGCATATATTTTTTCTGGAAAGAAAGCCAACTTAACCCTCAGCTGTTATGACTTTCACTTGAACAACCAGACAATCCTCAAAAGACAAAGCAAATAAACAGGTTGATACAGTTATAAATTTTGTGGGACCAATTATCACCATCTGCTTTTCCAAAATGTTTGAACTTTGTCCCGTTCCTTTGGACTGAATTCCAAAATGGTCACAATAGCATTAAGCATTTTCTGTCTACCTGCAGAATCAGTGCAGATGAGAAATTTATAGATGACATTCTTCAGGTATTCCAAGTTGGCACCTTCCCTTGACTTATCTCTTTTTTGTTTATGCACCAATTCTTCAAGACGGATCAATTCCTCACTCATCCGTTGCTCTTTGGTCAGTGCTGCATGCTGTAACTCTCTCAGTGCTGTCTCCAGTTGATATTTTTTGCAGCGCAAAGAAGAGATTTCTACCTCTTTTCTAGCTGTCTCCTGAGCAAAATGGAGAAGAGGCATATCACCAGGTCCAGATGGTGTGTTCTTTAACAGAAGATTAACAGTCTGTTCTTCATCAAGACTTGTATTCTCATCTGATCTCTCTGGTGATACCCGTGTTTGTGCAGATTCTGTTGTGGGTTTAGACTCACTGTAAAAATCATTGTCATAGCTTGGAAGGTTGGCCAGACTACGCAGACTCTCTATTTCTTGGTCTTTTTCGATCAGCATCGACACTGTACGTTTGCGTTGTTTTTTCAATTCCCCTTCCAGCTCTGAAAGTTGGTGTTGGTGCTCACTGATCATCTGATTACGTTCAGCTTTGTGTTTCTCTTGCAGGCTGCTCACCACTTTGTGCAAACTGTCAATCTTATCCAGATTTTTTTGCATCTCATTATCATGTTGTACATGCATTGACTTGATCTTCTCTCGCAACTCATTCATTTGTTCTCGTAAGACCTCATCTTGAGACGTATTTTCCTGTAAAAGGGTAGAAGATCAATTGAGTTGAAAGTGATGGTGTGTTGGTAGTCACCAATATAGGACATGTAGGAAATATGAACTTTTAACATAATTTAAAAAGCTGAACAGTGAATGAAAATAATGATTAAAAACTGAGGCTCTAAACATGTAAGGTAAAAAAACTAGTAAAGTATATTTTACTCAATTCTAAAAGAAAAGATTGTTTTGGATAATCTGAAAATTGGAACACAAAGATATTGGAGAAATTGTTGCAATCCTGAAGGACCAAGAAATCAAAGCAACAATAAAAAAGAGAAAGTTCAGTATAGTGACAAAGATCAGACAAAGTAGACATTGAACTGTAACAAGACGTGATTCATGATGTGGCCTAGAAGCATGAAGGAGATTAATTGATCATATTAATTAAACTTGTTACCTTTAAGCTTTTACTCTTTAAAATGGCTTGTGCTCGGATCTTGTATCGTTCATATTCCTCTTTTAAGGTACTTAGTTCATGTTCATACTTTTTACAGAGACTGCATTCAGCAGTCAAGTCGCTATAGAAAACACCTGAAAATAAAACAAATTTCAAAATATTTGAGATTTTTATATTCAAACAATATTAAGAGGATTAATATTGTTTAAGAGAAAATTTTCATGAGAGTAGAAAATTATTTAATTTCATGAGTAGAACTTTTAAAATTAATCATGTTTGCAAAAAAAATGTTATTTTATATACAGTTATAGTCTTTATAGAGTTTTTCAAAATCTACAATCATAACCTTGAAAATCATAGAAGTGAATTTCAATGTTAATTAATGTAAACTAAATTTTAAGACATGTTAGCAATAACAAATCTAAAAGCTGCTTACTAACTAGAAAATAACATTCTAGACTAACCTAATGCAAATTATAATATACAGTTGCTTAAAAAGTTTTGTTTTCAGTAATAAAACATACCTTCAAGCTCATAAGTCCTCTCTGTCTTTTGGTGCAGGGCTAATTTGAGCAACTTTTTTAACTTGCCAATTTTGGTAACCAGAGCTTGGATATCAAGATTGGTGTCACTGTCATTCTCATCAAGATCTTTCTTGATATCTGGTGTACGGGCAGCTTGGACTAATGCCATGTTCTCTGTGTCCAGCTGAGCGACGCGTTCCTTGAGTCGCTGGATAGCCTGCTGGTCCTGGAGGCGGAGACGCTCATAATTGCCCACCACCTCAGACAGCTCCGACAGTTTAGCCTCCAACCCAGACACACGCTCCTCACTCTGCTCAGCCATGGTGTTAAGATTTTCTTCTGCTTCATTGGCCCGCTGCTGTTCTTGACAGACCTGCGTCTGGTATTGAGACTGACAATGAAATAAAGTAATATTTGGTGTGTTGATGATGAAATAAAGAGATACTCAATGTTCTGGCTAAGAGTGGCAGGTAGGTTAAGTACACAGAAAATGACTGATAGATATATGCTTTTGTCTTTTGTTTTATTTATTACAATGTGCAAATGAAAGACTGAACAGTGATCTTTACTTCTTTAGAGGACTCAAAATTATTAGTTTCACTATCCAGGATCAATGCAACAGCATTGGAAAGGTGTTATTTTAAATTTATAATCAAGCAGGAGGAAATGTTTCTATTTTCATACAGAAATTAATGACTTAAGTGATTAGCACATTTGTATGAAAAATAAGCGCAACGAATCATTTACAAATTCATTATGTAAAGGTTTTGTTTTTTAACATAACTTATGTTAACTAAAAGAAGACAGCCAGAAAATAGAAAAGAAACAGAGATCAAGTATAAACATTTACCTTTAGGCTTCCCATTTCCATTTGCAATTGTAGTAACAGTGGAGATGGTTGATTAGCTTTTTCCTCTGCAGCCTTTAATCGGTTGCGTAACACTTTCAGTTCATTAGACAAATCATGGATTCGCTTTTCATACTGCTCTGACTGAGAAGTAGCTTTCTCTTTGGCTTGCAAAGAACTCTGTGTCAGCTCCAACTAGTTACAAGAAGAAAAAAAAAGAGACTCTTTTTAAAATAAGTATCTTTTGCAAAGCTAAATTTTAAGGTATTTATAATTAATATTTTTTTATATCTTCTCAAAGAGTAATTCTGTATAGACGGTGAAAAGTCTGGAAATTAATGTTAAGATCTGTTCACTGTTCAAGTTTCTCAAAGAAATTTCATAAAAAATTGAATTCATTCAAAAAAAAAAAAAAAAAAGCTTAAAACAAAAGAGAAAAAAAGAGAAGACCAAATTAATTAAGATAGTGTGAGGTGATAAAAACTAGACTAATTTAACAAGTATCTATTTGTATAACTAATGCTCCACCATATATGGTCCTGCTTCAGCCGAACTTTCAATAATAATAAGGTTAGGGTCATTAATAATTTTAATTCCATTAACTCCACGGCAAGATGAAACTTGTACACCATCAAAACCTAGTTGCATTGGCATTAGTTGCAAGGGAGGTAACTTAAGTAAAAATAAACCAGATTTATCGCCAATTCTTCATAGGCATTTTTTTTAAAAAAAAAAAAAAAAAAGGGGAGAGGAAATATATTAAGCAGCTCAAGATCAGGCAGAAGTTGAACTTGCATCAGGGCCGGATTTAGGCCTTGAGGCCCCTGGGCTAACAGAATTTGGAGATCTCTTCATTAAATCTAAAAAAAAAAAAAAAAAAAAAGAAGATATATTTTTAGGTGATGCTTTTTTATTCTAAAACATTGAAACACTTCAACTAAAATGTTTAATGATTTTGGAACTCATCATATTTCATTAGCAACTTCATGTTTTTTATCCAAACTTTACATCCGACAGAAATGTATCTAGAATGAAAGGTTTGTATTACACTGAAATCTAAATGGGATCCCTTTAAGGGACCCCATCGAATTTAAAAGACCCACTCCAACTAGAGTGGCCCAAATATTCTAAATTGTTACAATTTAGTACAAATGATCACCATTAATTCAGAAAATAAACAAATCTCCTTTGTTCTTATATATTTTTTTTATTTTGTCAGGGGGCACAAGACTAGAGTGTCCTTGGGGGCCGTTTTAATCTCAGGGCTCTTGGTATTCTACCCATATGTAAATCCAGCACTGACTTGCATAGTTGTGGTATTCTCACACCGTGATGAAAAATTAAAGCCTAGATCAAAACCATGCCAGATCCCAGATGTTCATATTATTCTGTGAAAAATTTAATGGAATTCTTTAGAGAAATATTTTTAAATCTAAATGAGTTAATAACATTTCATATAACAAATAACAGTTAATTTCAGATATTTATCTAATTAAACATTTTTATTTTGATCCAGATTGTTAGTCCTAATTAAGTAATAAAGTTGTGTATTTATTTTACATCTTCAATTTTAAGAACTACCAATTTACTGAATTAGTAATGTTTAATTAAAACTGAATAATTATTTTAATATATGAAATTTTTAATTCTGTTACTTTTGAAGTCTTTTTGTCAATTATAAATTTAACTGGAAAATTAAAAATAGTAATTGTTAATATAATATATTACAGCCAATTCTCTTCCATGATGGATGATAATTGTGGGAAATGATTCCCCAAGGTGACTATAATGTGCTAACAGACAATTTGTACCTTCTTTATTTAAAGAGAGCTAAAGACAGAGGAGAAAGAACTAAAATCTGGATAAGATAGATATTTGAGGTGGAGAATTCCTGGATGGTTGCTTTCAATGCTTTCCTACCTCTTACATACAACTGTCAACATCAATGATGGGATTTTTTGCACTTAGTCAAAGGCCTCAAATACATTTATATCACAATCATCAGATCAGGTTGCCATTAGGATGGACAAAAGAAAGACATCACTGATGAAGTTGAAGGAACTGAACATGCAGTACCACTAAAAAGGGATGCTGCAGAAAACTGATTAAACAGTGCCCCCTCATGATCATTAAAAGTCGTTGATCCCACATTTCAGGAAGGATGAATTCCTACAGATTAGGATTTGTAATCTATATTATACAGGTTAAAATTTAGGCTCAAGCTAAAAATAGGTAAAACCAAAAAAATCCCAATACTCATAACTTTTTGTTAATATTGTAAAAAAAATTTTATTTTTTGTGAAAAAAAAATTTACTTTGGATGTTCTTTTCATAAAGTGACTGACAATTGTTTTTTAGTAATAAATTATAAAAAAAGTTAACATTCTTAAAAGTTTACCTTTTGTATCAATTTATTTAATCGATACCTTTTATTAAACTTTTAACCATGCAAATAATGTCATTTATCTCTGCATGCTATATTTGGCAAACTTTTCCTACATAAGTGAGAAAAATATTTTTATTGAAAGAAGAATTATGGCTTTCCATGGGCATAGGTTATTTTAGTTGAATGCCTATCTATTTGGAGTATGTTGCCAAATTCTGTAATCCTATGTGCTATAAACTAAAAAGAAATTATTTATGACAAACTCCCCACACACACTGAGGAGTGTTGAGAAGCCTTGCACTATTTCATGTAACACCGTAGTAATATTACCTCACCTGATATTCAAGATCTTCTCGAGCAGTGCGGCCATCATTGACAAGTTTTTGTAGTTCACGGAGCATAAAGGCATGGTCAGTTTGTTCTTGTTCTCGTTCAAGTTGCTGTGCACGCAATTTCTGCTTCAGCTAAGGATTACAACAAAAGTTTTAAATGCATGAATGAGATCCATTTAATTTTTCTAGTTGATGGATTAATTTCTGTATGCTTAAATTAAAAGTATGAAGGAACTTTTCAAGCTGTTCATTCTATTTCAAATCAACCAATGACCACAGGTGACAATATCAGAAAAATCTGGGAAAATTCACAAGTGTTCCTTGATTGAACGTATTGATGAATCCCAAATATTAGATTTCTATCTTTAATAGTTTTAAAATCAGAGTATATTGAAATTACACTTCACTTATTAACTTTTGCTAAAGATTTCAATGAATTTCTGACATTCATAGCTTCAAGGATATTGCATATACAGATTTGAAATATGTTGATAATAATTCATATTTACAAAAATATAAATGGTTTTGTCTTACATACTTTCATTTTCATAAGAACCTGAAAATGACTAAAATGCAAAAAAACGCTGTTCCCTTTCAGAACTTTTCACTTACAAAATATATCAGATACATTTAATACAAATTAGTTTTCATGTCATTTATGAAGTAATAGACTATTTCTATGCAGTTACCTTATTCATTCTTCTTAAAGAAAAGTCAGTATTACTGTTTGAAAATTGCTTGATTATTTAACATCCTTGAAATTTCCTATTTTCATGACATCAGTAGACCAGTTAGGAAAAATTTTATATTTTTACCATATATTCTTACAAGTCTGAAGATCACTTCAGAGATTTCATTTTGTGCATAAACCTTTATCTACAGTCAAAACATTTTAGAACAAATTCTCATGCTGAAATCATGGTTTTATCAATTTTGGCACTTATTTTGATACTTAAGAAAATATGAAGCTGAAAGTTGATATTCCTATAATATTTAAAACTGACAAAACTTAATGAGGGGTAAGGTCAAAGTTTTCATACATTATTCAAATATTTGATTTCATATGTTGCTACTACTGCCTCCACAGTCGTCAAATGCTTCTTGTTATAAGAAACTTTTTAGATTAATTTAAGTGGAATTTTTGAGAATTCTACCTTTTTTTTTCTACGGTGTACTCTGCATTTCTACTTTTTACATAAATTTTCTATGGTTAGGACTCTATAACTACTCTAAAACTTTCATTTTGCTTTGGTCCACTCAATTTGATACTGATTTTGAAGAATGCCTTGCATTGTCTTATTAAAAGACTATTTTAAATAGTTCAGGATTTTCAGCCATTTTTTTTTTTCATTATTTATCCAATTTGTAGAGAACTACTGACTGGTAGCAAAATACTGCCATAGCAGCATGCTTTACTGTGGCATATAGGTTTTACTGGATTTTAGCAACACACATTTCTGATCCAAAGAGCTTAGATTTAATTTGGCCATAGTAAACTTTCATGAAACAAAAATTTTCATTTACCAACTTTACACATGTTTTCACATGTCTTGCTTGCATTTTCTTATACAACAAATCTTTAGATTATTTCTATGTAGCCATTGAACCACTCTACACCAGAACTTGAGGTTAAAATAGACTGTTTCACTTCTTTATATTTTTTTAAAGCAAATAAGACCTTAGTTAAGGTTATCAGCTTTATTGCTCTTTCTTCTCTTCAGCACAATTTACTTACTTTAAGCAAAAGTGTGTGTGTGTATATATATATATATATATATATATATATATATATATATATATATATATATATATATTAGTGGCACATGACTGAGAGGTTAGAAAATTTGCTTTCTGACCATGATACCAGGGTTCAAATCTCACCATGGTCGATTTGTCAGGAAGGTAACTCCTTGATGTTATCAATCTGGAGAAGGCAATCTCAGCATGTGGCATCTTTGGAAAGTGTCTGAAAATCACAACATAGGTTGACCCAAGCACTATAGATGAAATTAGATAGAACCCTTGGGAGCCAAGGGTTTGAGTGTGCTGGCTTTGTTCAGACTATTGATCACATGTTGATAACATGCACTCCCAGAAACTGTAACTAAGGTTCACACAATATAGTTGCAGTATAAACCATAGGTGGGCTCTGTGGGTGTTGAACAAACAAAAATGTGGCTGAGCAATGTCTGGAATAGGGATTAGCTAGCCGCACTAGTAGACTGGAATCCTTGAATATGAGTGGCTATGCCATTTTACATATGTAAGTATGTCTTTTTAGACTAATATAAAACCAACATGGAAAGACTTAAGATTTCACTAGTCATGTTGCCAGCAAGTAGTGGCTGCATTATAAGACATTATTTTTATTTCTTCTCTACCAGAGAGGAATCATTGGACTGTTCTTCAAAATTGAAGCTGCTGATAAACCATATAGAACCTTCAGCATATGAGTATATCACCAAAATAATGGATCTTGTCTGAAGTCAAAGAAGTGTTCGTCAAATCAAAAAATGAAGTTTTCTCTCATCATATTTTAATAACAAGGAAACAAAGATTGATGAAAGTTTGGATCAGTTTCTTTGCAGGCTGTCTGCTTAATACAGACTGCAATTTTAATTCTGTAATGGTAGAAGTTAACAGGGACCAGTATATCGAAGATGCTTTCATTAACAGGCTAGTGTCTTCTCACATATGGACTAGACTCTTGGAAAACAGATCACTCAATTTGAATACCATGTATGGTCAGGCCTTAGCTCTCAATATAGCTGCAATTCAAACAAATCTCTTAAAATCTGTGTCTATTGAAGACAAACCCTTAGAGGTAGATACTAGTAAGAAATGTTACTTCGGTGGACTAAATTCTCATATGATGGATGTACCCAGCATGAAATGCTACTCATCACTGATGCGGAAAAAGGAGCCATTACACTAAAGTATGCAAATCACACCAACCAGCTGCAACTCTTGACAACTACTAGCAACACTATCTACTCTAACAATTTGGTGCAAGCCATAATGATGTTGAAATTGATATTTCAGTCAAGACCTTAGTCAAGGAGTTCTAAGAGTTTTATTAATCATTATATTGTAAAATGGCTTGACTAATCATGACACTTGCTGCAGGTACTGTAAGTATGGCTTCTCTTTTTTATTCAACAAGAATGTAAAGCACAAGTTCAGTCAACTTGTTGGTTGTAAATAAACCATACCCTAATGTGAAATTAGCTGTATTATGCAATTTATGCTGCAATGTAATACTGAGTCAGGACTTTCTATAGCAGCATTCATCCCTTTCACCAGGCCTTTGCTTGAATTGATTATGCGTGGTTTTGTGGCTACGGATGTCCAACCCCCTCCCTATTTACCCACTTTACTTCCAACTGCAAGCCAGTCATAGTGAAATTCTGGTGCTTTTCTAAAACTGATAAAGCCTTTATTACTTGTAAAGAAACTCTTATAAGAAAAAATAATCAAACCTAGCAACTCCCCAGAGAAGGCCCAAATTCTGGTTGTTTCCAGAGAGAACCACAAAAGCAGGCTGCTGGTGGATTACTCTCAAATGATAAATAGATTTACACTATTAATTGCCTATGCTCTCCCTTGAATTGATGGATGCAGGAAGTAGCAAAGTATCACTACTTCAGTACCTTGAACCTGAAGAGTGCATACCATCAGATATTATCAGGTCATCCCATGAGTTCTGTCTGAATTTTAACTTTTTGTTAAAATGAACAAAATTTAAAGAGTATTTTATGTCTAATGGAGCAGAACATTATTTTTATGTTTAGATGCATTTAAACTGATCAAATTTTATTTCAGAGAACAATAAAATTAAATTTTGTTTGATTAAAACCCTGCTAACATGGAAGTACCCAAGAATCATTTAAGGCACATAATGCTTTATGAGTTCAGGAAAGGAAACTCAGCAGCCAAAGCGGCTAGAAACATTCACTCAGTTTAGAGAGAGGAATGTGTGAATGAAAAAACTTGCAGAAGATGGTTTGCAAAATTCAGTGGTGGAGATTTCACCCTTGAAGATGAAGATCAATCTGGACGTCCAGTTGAATTTGATGAAAAGCTTCTTGAAGCAGTCCTTGAAGAAAATTCTGCTTTATCAGTTGAGGAATTGGTAGTGCTTCTCAGTTCAAACCATACAACTGTTCATCGTCATCTTCAACAACTTGGAAAAGTTCCTAAACTTGGAAAATGGGTGCCTCATGAATTGTCTGAAAACAACCTCAAATCCCAAGTTGACATTTGCTCTTCTCTCCATTCTTGCCAACTTGTTTCACCTTTTTTGGATAGACTTGTGACTGGCGACGAAAAATGGATCTTTTATCGAAATGTTAAGCGTCGTAGACAGTGGCTTGGTAAATCCAGCCACAGCCAAGAAGGGAACTTCATGGGCAAAAGGTTCTTCTTTCAATCTGGTGGGATCGCCAAGAAATAATCCACTTTGAATTCTTACCACCTAATGCAACAATTAATGCTCAAATATATTGTCAGCAATTAGAGCATTTGAACCAAGCTTTGAGGAAAAAAAGACCTGCTCTAATGAATTGTAAAGCGGCGATGTTTCATCTGGACAATGTGCGACCACACACAGCAAGAATCACGTCACGAAAGATCAAAGAACTTGGTTGGGAGAAAATTTCTCATCCACCTTATGCTCCCGATCTTGCTCGTTCAGACTACCATTTGTTTCGTAGCTTACAGAATCATTTGGAAGAAAAAGCTTTTGTAACATAGGAACTGACATTTGTGAGTTCTTCGAATCAAAGCCAAAAGAATTTTACAGTAATGGAATTAGTAAGCTTGTTAATAGATGGAAGGAAGTCATAGATAATCAGGGAAAATACATTGTTGATTGAATCTGTAATTAAATGTAACATTTGGTCACTTGTTTTCTTTATTCAGAATTCGGACAGAACTTATGGGATGACCTGATAATTAAAGACATTGAAAAAATATACAGGCTTCAAAGCTGATGGCTAATTATACCACTTCTGTTGTATGTCATTTGTAGTTACTAAAAGTCACTCTATATGGTATTCTATTAAAGTGCTATCTAAAGATGAATGTTGACAACTTCTGCAATATCATACAACAAAGGTCATCAAAAATAAACATTTCTGCTTTTGGCTGGAACTCTTGATTACAGCATTAGTCAGAGATATCAATGACTTGGTCAGTATAAAAGTTGAAGTAATAGTAACTGAAGGTCATTTGAAGTGGTCCTTCTACATAAAAAATGCTAAAGTTGTTTTAATTCTCAGTTTCACAGAGTGCATTTTCTTTCTTGATTTGTTCCTAGAGGTGGTGATAAAGTTCCACTAAAGGTTATGTCAATGAAATGTCTATGCCCTCTTACAGTTTTTTTTACTCATTTTAGAAATAACAACTTTTCAGGGTATTGAATTCATCATATTGAACTGAAGATTAAATGTAAATCATGTTAATCATAGAATGGTAAGCACTAATAACCAAAAAAAAGAAAAAAATGAACAGATGTTTACTTAATAAAAAGATGTTACACCTATTTTCTTTCATAACAATGGAAAAAAATTATGAAAAGGAATGAAATATAACAATTTCACTTTAACCTCCAATCTCCTAGAAGTTGTAAATAAATAATAATTAAAAAAAAAAAAAAAGCAAAGAAACTGATTACACTGTGAATATTACCTAATTACATTTCAATTTTTTGTTAAAATTGATTTGCATCCACCTCAAGTTGTAAGATATATAAAACCAACTGATTATTAAAATTGAGACATTGCTCTACAAGAAGGTGCAAATTTTATTTTTTTAAATTTCATTTCTCTGGTATTTCATTGACTAAATTTTTTTAAACTTTTTTGTGAAAGACAACTTCAAACCCACCATATTGATGAGCATCCTTTTTCCTTTAAGACTGGACTATTTCGATATGTGTAAACAGACACAACTCTGAGCAAAATTGTGAACTTTGAAAATGCAGTCAAAGCCACCTGTCATTCAAATAATGACATAATTTAAAGAAACATAGAATAAAACTCATCATCACATATGAGAAAGAAAGATTAAATTCTCTTTACATACTAATTTTATCAAAATAGCCTAAAAAATAAATGGGATATCAGTAGTTGAAATGGAGAGATATTACACTATTTTGAACAGTTTTCAGTGTAAACTAGGGTTGTTTGGGATGTTTAATATTACCCTAACATTGGCTTCACAATGGGAAACGTTTTTACCTGAAATGCTACATTATATCAGATTTCTACTTTGCAAAGCACAAATGCCACTACCCTTGAGAGATTATTTTGATACCAATGTTGATCTCTCAGTAGCCATTTTTTACCCACCTAGCTATCTGTTTCTGGTACTGTAGTGCTATGCTGATATGTCCATACTAGTAAACATGACCCACTGGTATATAAAAGTACTCCCTCAGTTAAGGATTTGACACCAACCTTTAGATGAAAAGGTCAATTTTATTTTCATATTTTAATCAACAACTACACCAAAATGTCTAAAAGACAAAAATGTCAAAATACCAGATGAAGTAACAAGCAAGGAAGTCACTCTCCTCCCCCCACTTCTCCGAACACAAAGGTCCCCAACCTGGGACCAAACCTTCTATTCGAGAGCACCAAAAACCAATCCATTAACCTGACTATGAGAATTAAAGGAAGAGAAGAATGAACCACTCTACATGTCTTCTTGATGTTGAAATAGACTGTTTCAATTCTTGTATTTGTTTTTTTAATATTTTTTTTTGTTAAGTCAAATAAAGCTTTAGTTCAGGTTATTGGTTTTCTGTTCTTTTCAGCACAGCCATCTTTTGAAAGCAGATATTAATATTATCTTCATGCTTGTGAACTCTTTCAACAGTTCATTTTTTTTTTTGTTATTCTTGAATTCATTTTAACAATTCTGACAGTCTCAGTAGACTTGAACTTCTTAACAATGCAAACATTTTGAAAATTTTCAGTTACCCCTTGAAACTTTCATGGCTTTCCTATTTGAATTTTCTGAATAAACTTAATTCTTCAGTTAATGCTTGAATAAGCTCATGGTTAATTTTATGAAAATAGAATATCTATAGAAATTCCCCTATCCCATCATTAAATATTCGAGCTAAACAACTTTAACAAAATATTGCAATAACAACCATAAATATGAATGCTGGTCATTATTTTAAGAAGTGAGTACAAATGAAATTATTTGAAATTGACAAGTTTTTCCTTTTCACTGAAATGGCCATTAAACACTTCCTTTTTCATTCTTCATTCATTTTCTCACTGAAACCAAGTAGCATATATTTTTTTGTTTTCTATGCAATCAAAACAGAATAAGCCATTATTTATGAGGTATTGGCAGGAGATGTTAAATACTTCTATCTTCTCTTCTTTCTAACCAAATCCACATCTTACAAATATTTCTCTTAATAATAATTTTAAAATAATTTTGAGACCTGGCTCAAGTGCACATGTTTGGGCTACCCACATTAAACTGACCATGTATCACATCCTGCCTTGCATGGAGCAACAAGAAAATACTATTATTTCTCTGCCTTTTGGTTATGATAAAAGTGTAGTATCTGTTCTTATCAATTTAATCTGATCTCTCCCTCTCTCCATCTTTCTTTCTTTCTTTCCTTTTTTTCTTCCATTTTCTCACTGAAACCGAGTAATGTCTTTTCCCCTCTTTCCACATGATCAAAACAGAATAGTCCATTGTTTATGGGGTATTAGCAGGGTGTAACAGTCATGTAAACTAACAAAGGAGGGGATAAGGGCAATTATAATAGCATTTGTTTAAAGTAAAACTCAAGTATTAATATTCTGACTGTATTCTTTAAGAGATTTCTTTATGGCAGTTGTTGCGCATGCTTTCTATAAAATTCTAGTGTTATAATATGAAGTTAGTAGCTTGCTCTAACAAAATGTCATGCAAAGAACACTTTCATTCTCATAAATACAACATCTGTCAACTGACCAGAAGCATAGTTAAAATTGCTCACTAACATTCAGACAATATATCATTAGACTAAAATATATGCTCTCATACTTAAAAACACTAAAAAATTAAAAACAAATAATCCTTGCCTCATTTAGGCATCAAGAAGTCTTTCAAACAGGTTTGATTAAAAAAAACCAATGAGGTCTGCCTAATTTTACATTGTATTTTACCAATTTTTGAATAAGTTGTTGTGCATGGGATCAAAATTGTGGATAAACTGAAGTATATGTCTGTGTTTTTTTGTTCAATATATATATATATATATATATATATATATATATATATATACAAGCACACATGAATATGCTTACCTCATTGATGCATTTTTCTTGCTCTTCCTGTTTTTTTAATGATATTTCTTCTTTTTCTTCCAACTTTTTCTGGAGGTCTTCATATTCTTGCTATAAACACAAATACTTAACTAGACAATGTGCTTATGTTGAAAAGCAAAAAAATCTAAATCAATAACTTATGTTGCAATGTGATGAAAATTGCAAGAAGAGTTTATATTACTGCTTGAATATGCAGCTCTGAACTGTTTTCAGCCTTTAACACTCAAAAGTAATCAATGCATATCTGTCAAGACAATGATGAAGCTGGTCTTGTATGTAAGTTTTCTTATATTCATTCATGATCATTTTTTATTTTTAACAAAGAATTACTGCAACATTAGAGTAAATGTTTTTTGATTTTTAGAACAAACAACAATGCCATTTATAGTTTATTGAGAAATCTTCAACATTTCATTGAATACTTACCTTTAGTAATTTCTTTTCTGCTAAATAATTACTCTCTAGTCTGGTCTTTTCATTGGTCAGTGTGGCCAGTGATGATGTGAGTGTGGCCACTCTATCTTCACTCTCAGTACAGTCATCTTCTGACTAGAACAGAGAGAAAAACAAAATTATATTGGATAACAGTACATTAGGATGTAAGATGTATAATAGAATGCGATAAAATTGGAAAAGGTTTTGCTTTAAACTGAACAAGTCTGTAAAGAAAAGTTCTTACTCAATAAAAATTAAAATAACCAACAGTTTAAGGTCAATTTGAAACTAATGTGAATTGATCTTCCACAGTAAGCATTAACATAAACAAAACACATGAATCAGCTAAAATGAGCAAAGTACTGGTTATTGTTACAATAACCAAAATCAATTTAACAATTTTCACATCATAATCGCTTAAAGGAAAATAAAAAATTTAAGCAGAGTTTAATAAAATATATTTTGGATAATTGAATGACAAAATGGAAAAATATTTATGTAACAGATTTTGCCCTTTAAAAGGACTTCATCAGATTTAAATAATGTTGTTATTGATGGAATTAGGAATAGGAGGAGGGGGGAATATAAATGAAAAGGTTGGTTATAATTTTGCACCAAAAGAAAACACTGAAGATGCAGGGACACTAAATTTTAAATTTCAATTTTAAAATATCTAGCTACTGATGTCATTTCATTCGGTTTCCCAACATATTTGTTATCAGTTATTTTTTTAAATATATCATACTGCAACAAAAGAAGATTTGTTAAGAAATGTGAAATGTTATACAAACCTGAATGCAAATTTATTATAGTAGACTCAGAAATTAGTGAACTTTCTATACATTTTTACCTTAGTAAATTATGGTGAAAATGTACAGAAAACACTGTTTTGCTATATAGAAATATCATATATCATATTCTTCCAAAATATATTTTATAATAATAAAGGAATATAAAGGAATATGATTTGCTCAAATTGTATTTTTTTAAAAATCCACCATTCAAGAGAAACCAAGAAATTACATTAACTTGCAATGGATCAGAGAAACCACATTTCTCTTTGTCTGACTTCTCCTGGTCATTATCTTTGTCTCCATTGTCCACAGATGCTGAGCTGAGCTTTTTGTTGGCTTGTTGCTTTGAATTGGTCAAGCACTGGAAACTAGCTTCAAGGGCTTCCTTTTCTTTTAGAAGACCTTTGTAAGCACTGACAATATCTGTACAAGAAAAAAGTGTATACAGCTATCAGAATATTGGGCTAATACTGTCAAGTAGTTATGATATCAAAAATTCATTTGAACATGCTATTTCAAGTCTTCTGAATAAATGAGTATGCTTTTAAGGCTAAGTAATTACTATCTAATAATTTCAGGTTTGTACATCATTTAAAAAGGAAAAAAAAAATTAATGATTACCACGTAAATATTTTCAAATATGCAAGAAAAGAAAAAAGTAACTGTTTAGATAGATACTAGCATAACTGATATAGATGTTGAAATTGATATCTCATATAGATGTTGAAATTCATGCTTTTCAGGTGATAATACTTGAATGTAAGAAATTTATTTACCTCTCAACCGGGCTTCATATCTCTGTATTTTTTCTTTTTGGGACTCAACAATCTTTAAAAGTTCACTTCTAGAAGTTCTGTCCATGATGTCTCATTTTGCTAGAAATCATCTTTCCTGAGAGTAATAATCAATTTCGCTTCAGGTTCAGAAACTAAAATTAAAAAACAAAAATGTTTTTGGCAACAATTATATTCCATACAAGAATAGAAGTAAAACAGAATTAAAAGAAATCTTTGTAGCTATTCCAACAAGTGAAGACATTCTTTATATTGCTTATATTGTTTCCATGCCTTGGTCAATCAATTTTGCAGCCTTTTTCATGTGTTTATACTCTGGCTCCATCAAGCAGATTTACAGATCCTGTTGGAACATAACTCTATTAGACCATTAGACCACATTAGCAGAAGATGACAAGTTTCATTTTTTCAATGTACAGAAACCAACATATGCAGAATTGTATTTGAATTCTGATTTAAACCACCAATTCTGTATTAATAAATGGATAGTTCATTGTATTCAATACTAAGCAAAGGACATCAGCAATCTGAAGAAAAGTTAAGGAGGTAAGAAATACCTTCCAATATAACAACCATCCATCTTTAGTAATTTCTAAGATGGGAAAGAGGACCAAGCCAGTAGGCATCAACTATTTAGCATATGTAAAAAGGACAACTAAATGACTCCAAAGAATGTGTGAATATGTTAACATTAAGGTGTTTTTCAGTAGTTCAACTACTTTTGCAAAATTCCTTTCATTTGTCCAAAGAATTAATTAATGTGCTTACACAGCTTTTTCAGATGCTAATACAAGAGTTAAATGACAGTTAACAGTCGCATATAAGGGTTCTTGTAGCACCATGTTGTGCATGGATAGGTTTTATTGCAAGTACTTTTCAGTGGGTAGCCAAGGCTACAACATGCTGTTGCCCGAGCCAACCTTCAGCTGTCTTATGTTGCCTTTGACAATCGACAACAACTATTATTCTTGCCCTCTTCCATATTAAAACTGTATTATGACCAAAACAAGCAAAATAAAACTAAACCGGTTTTTAAAAAAAACATCTAAACCCCTCAACTCTTCTTTCTCCAAAATTTATGGTATTCATGCAAAATTTTGCAGAGTAGAATTATTTCTTTTGGAATGTTCTCTAGACATCCTAGCTCTCTGCAAAACTAATCTAACCTTTAAAGAGGTTAGATTAGTTTTGCAGAATTCTCTGTTCTTGGCTATCTTTCTTTTGAAAAGACTCCAGTGTCCACATGCATGGCTTCTATGTTTATGAACATCTCCCAGTGGCAATAGAATTGTCACTTGAGTCTCCAGATTGTTCTTATATGTGCTTCTAATTTTCACTATTAAACTTGGTCAGTTCTCTTCCTTTAGCATTCCTCTTTTCAGGACTTTTGCTTGCTAAATAGAATAAGTCTCTCTCTCTCTCTACATTTGTCTGCAAATATCTTTGTGTTTAACAATTTCAATGCCCATCATATCAAGTGACTTCATCACTACTACTGCTAATGCTACTGATCTTGCCATCATCCAGATTTTGAACTGCTCAAACTCTCACACAAATAATAAATTTCCCTCCTCATCTCTTAGTAATTCTGACAGACACATTTCTTTACATGATCTGTTCCTTACCTTCTGTCTGGAGTCATGTTGTGCTTTGTAGCTCTGTCCTCCTGGCAACTCTGACAATGCAGTATTGTCTGTAGATATTTCTTTCCACTCGTTTATTAAGCAAGAAGCCCCTATATTAACAAGACATCCTTTTGTTACCAATGCACTGATTGGAACTCATTTCATAATTTTCTTCTCAATACCACATGGAATTGAATTTTTAATCTTCACAGGCTCAAAGCCTATGGTGTTTTTAGCCAAATATTTGGCTTAATTCAATCATTCTTGACAATTCATGTAATGAAGGTCATGTTGAATGAACATATGCTTCTAGATCATTTCACATTAATGTGGGGGCTCTCTCCTTGGACCTATGGTATTTTCTATCTCCAATAACCTTCCTGATATTAATTTTCAACTAGGTATTTATGCTAATGACAACTATTTACTCCTGCCTTAGTAGCAAGTTTGATAGGTCTGACAAAGTAAAAGTGACAGAAGCTCTTGAAAATGACCCCTAATCAGGGGTTAAATGGGACAAGAAAAAACTTTAACACCTCCAAGACAACTGCATTGGCCTGGATTCTCAACTTCTGTTACTTTCCCATTGCTGTGATGTGTTTTCCCTCTGTCTTCTCTATACATATTTTCATAGTAATTGTTCTGATAAGCTCACCTCCTTGGTACCCTCACTGAATGAATTGAAATGATTAAATAAATAATGCAAAAGAGGGGCTAATTGCCACATATTACCAAAAAGTGACTATGAATTTTACAAGAACTCTTATTATTTCTGTACATCAAGTAATAATATTGGTGTTAGATATTATATATCAGGTATTCTTAATAAATAAATATGTGGAGTTTTGTTTTTGACCAATGTTTGTTATAATAAAGTTTATATATGCTAGTACATCAATGCTATCATAAATCAAAAGAAATAGGATAAAACAAGAATAAAAAACTAATCAATGAATGTGTCCTTTCATAATACCCACCCCCACAACAACTGTTGGTGTAGTACACATCTGTCAAGTATTAGATTACAAATTATATTCATCCAAATTTCTGTCCATTATAAATAAAAAGCAGGATAGTTATTTTTTTTACCTCATGAACATCATATCCTAACAAGAAAAATATAAATTATTTTTATATTTTTTTCTGTTTTTACTAAAAGGCAACTTGTAGTATGTTATTTGTATATAGAGAATATAGATTTATTATTAAACCATTTCAGTGCTGTGTGTGTGTGTGTGTGTGTGTGTATATATATATATATATGCATTCAAGACCATGTTGATATTCCACCAACAGAATACATCACCAATACAGAACCTTTTACGTATGCAAAGTGTGGCAGTGAGTGTAAATGTAGATATTCCAAACTAATCTAGTTCACAGTGTGAAAATGTGTCAAAATAGTGAAATTTCCTTCAATTTCAACTGCTATCTCATTTATTTTCAAGGATATTTTGATAGAATCAGTATGTAAACAAAATTTAATCTTTTCTCTTTAAAGATTAAAATTCCTTCTAAAGTGTAATGATTAGTTTTTATTTCACATCTCTTTAAATTATGTCACTATTTCAATGATAGCTGCCACTTTTTCGCATTTTTGAAGGTCAGAATTTCATAGTGCTGCTTTTCAAATTTGTTGTGAACCAAGTTGTGCCTCCCTACAGATATCAAAATAGCCCCATCTTAAAGGAAAAAGGACACTTGTTAATTTGGTAGGTTAACCATAAGGCTTGAAGTTGTTTTTCACAAACAAATTTCTAAGTTAAAAAATTTAGTGGATGAAATACCAGAGAAATGAAACTTAAAAAATGAAAATTACACCTCCTTGTAGAGCAATGTCTCATCTTTAATAATCAGTTGGTTTCATATATCTGCACCCATACAACTTGAGGCATATATGAATCTAAAAGAGGATATATCATGTTCATTTCAAAACCTTGGGTCTAACACACTGAAATCTGGAATTGCTGACCAAGTGAATGAACATCACCTGCTGAACACAATTTAAATCTTATATTTTCTTTAATTATGCATTTTAAAACTGTATAAAGTACTTCTTTTCTGTATTTTATCCAAACTGTCATGCTCAAATCACCTTCAACTGTTGTTTTTATGCATTTTCTTGAAAAAACATTAAACAGAATTTATATAAAATAGTGTTATAAAATTTGTATAATGCTCGTAGTTGCTGTAAGGAAATTACTGGAGACAAAATGGTTGAGTGAAGAAGAGTTTAATCACATGAGAACACAGATTGAAAATACAGTAGTTCAGTGTGACAAGCGTATGACTGAAAAGTGTTACATCTACTCATAGTGGATGGACGAGTCCAGGTTTCAATAATAAATGACAAATAGAAAAATAAATATGTAAATTGGATATATTCTTAGCTATTTAAATTTCACTCTGACATTTGTCCATAAAAAATTAAAATATTTAAAAAATATATATTTTTAAAAATATATATAAATAATTTTTGAAAAAGTGTCCAGTTTATCTTTCGATGGTTATTCATTTCGTTTACATTTGTAGCTGGCAATATTTTCTCTAATTCTCAGGATTTAAGGATTAAATTGAAAATTTGTTTACATTTTCTTTTCAAAAAGTGAAACTGAATAAGCTTATCTTTGTTGTATTGGTTAATAAAAAGTTGAAATATAATTAGTAATTTTCAAAATGTAATCATTTTTTTTTAAATCATGATTTGTTTACTAATTGCCATCTAAAATTATTATGCAAATCACAAACCTCAAAAACCCAAAATTTTTAAAAAAATGTTTAAATTTTAACCGGTTAATTTAGACATCAAACCAATGCTTCAGTTAAATTTTTCAGCATTTTTTATTAGTTATTGGATTCATTAAATAAACTGCAGTCAGAAGTTATTATGTAGATTAAACTAATATTAACTTAAGGACTTTGAA